ACGGAATCTGTGAAATTTTTGCGAAACTTAAGAAGTGGCTGATTGCACGTTTTTACAAAGCTATGTCATTATTTGGTGGGGGATCTCCAGTGCTCAGAGCGTTTCTGCTAATGGCAGCAGTCGGTCTCTACATTTCCAGTGATTCTTTTAAGACACGTACTAGTAGTTTATGGTCACCGCAGGGGTTTGTTCTAGAAATTGACAGTTCTTTTTGGCGGCTTACAACTGCGAGTAATCCTGTAAACTGATTTTTACTAGGCAGTTTTTAGGGTTGGAGGTATAAAATATTTGAGGTGGCGGAGAATCCAGGTCCATTTCGTGGGACTGCACCTTTACGAACAGCTACCCAAAATCTGGAGTCATTCTGTTCTGGAGAGATGTGGCTGTAAAATTTAAGTAAACTGACGGAAGTGTATGACAAGAAGTGAATTCTGCGACCTTTTTGATTTTGCACAAACAATTTCATCCGTACAACGGCCGTGCTAACTGCCAAATTGGGATCAATAATCATAGCAATCTAGATATGAGAATGCTAGTTGGGGCTTGTTAATTTTGCAGGAAAAATCCGACGTTCAATTTTACCGTGCCGCAAGCCTACACTTCTGATGGCGTGCTTATCATTGATGGCGTACGTTTGCATGTCAGCAAAGCGGTATTTTTTTGAACTGAAAAAATATGTCATTCATGATTTCACCCCATGTCCTTTGGCATTTTTCAAGTATTTTTTTGAAACTGTAAGGTCGTACGTGGGCAAGGGGGTCGCTACCCTAAAATTTCAGCTTTGTAGACTTTATGGTTCCCGAGATAATAATTTATCTGTCAGAAATTTTCACTGGGGCGTCCATGTTACCCGCGGGCAGGGGAAAGCTGAATTTAAATTTTCTGGATAGCACATGGGTGTGGGGTATGCTCACAAAGTTTCAGCCTTCTAGATTCCGTGATTCTCGTGATAATAATTTTATCCGCACAAACTTCTGCAGGGCCGTACGCTTTACCCGCGGGTACAGGGAGGCTGAATTTAAATTTGCGGGATCGCACGTGGGTGGGGAACGTTCCCCTAAATTTTCAGTCTCCTAGCTTTTGTGATCCCCGAGTTGAAAGTTGCGGACAAGTTTCTGCGGACACGCACACACACAAACACATAGAAAACCCCGTGACAATTTGCGTCTTGTACTGCTATTACACAGCACAAAACGCATAAAAGCAGAGGGTTTGATTAAAAGTGAATACACCAGAAAGAATAAAACCTGTTATATTGTGTGGTGGGGAAAGCATGCATGGGCAGAGCGGAGAACCTCAGCAAAGCGAGCGAGAATTAAAAAAGAAAAAAAAAACATACTTTCTCCGTTATATTATAGTATTCTTGCCGCTGACCTGAACTTGCACGTCTTTGTCAATTTTTTTTTTAATCACACATTTTATTTTGCAGTATCTGGCACTGTATTCACCAGTATTCCACGCCATGTTTTTTTCAAAGTTCAGAGAACGCGACAAGAAGGAAATTACGGTCGAGGATGTGATCCTTGATGAATTCTTGGAGCTGCTAAACGTTGTGTACCCATCGCACAAGCCGGTCTCAGGCTAGCCTGTTTTCCCCCGTCGTATTTATCTCTTTTACTACTCCATGTTTGATTTTATCTGATTCTTTAGTACTACGGGCTAGCTTATACGGTGATGCAGCGGGTTGGGTCGTCACCGTATTCATTAGAAGCATCCTTATTAGCTTATCGTATTTTCTTGAGAGATCTAACGAGAGTTTACGCAGCTTTTCATTACTGAAATGATTTTGTTTGTATTTTCAGCTGAAAATGTGGAATTTTTGTTGGAGCTCGGAGATAAGTTCCAGATTCAATTTGTAATCGATCAGTGCGAACAGTTCCTTATGCGTTCGGATGATATCGCTATTGTGACGAAGCTCGTCTGGGCCGATCAGTACTGTCTCGCCAAATTACAGGTTTGCTCTCATT